ATACAAACACTTTCATGATAAATAGCCGTATAACTAAACTTACTAATTTCATAGAATACTTGGCAGTTAGGATCTTGGATATAACACAATTAATAGCTAGAGCCTACATCGCTCATTTTGGCAACTCACCGCAAACAACTTTGTGAAATTCCAGCAAGAAGCCGGCCACGACCGGAAGTGTTGTATGACGTTATCAGGATATATATTTTGATTTTTTTTGTATATTTTACCTAGTTTCCAGTGTCAACAATTCGACATTCATTAGTTATGAACTACGGTTTCAATATATAAATGTATGTTTGAGTTTGTAAAATAGCCAAATATTAGACAGATATATGCGCATAATTAGTGACAAACTGAAGAAAACTGTTGTCCGCCTAAAGGCCGTTTTCATAGTACCTAAATATATACCTTTCTCAATATTGAAAGGTTTAAATTGCTTCAATTTGGTTCAATGTAAATATTGGCTTGATATTGTATCATGGATTTGAATGATTACACCATCCCCTTGAACTTGATCTCCTTGTTTTAGTGACAGCACACGTCTATAAGTGCAAACATAAGCTTCAAACATTAGGTAGACGGCGTCATCCGTCTGCCTAACACGATAGTCGACCTAATAATGGTTTTCAAAGTCCCAGTTGTTTACCTAAGGTTGGTATTAGAAATGTATATATATATATATATATATATATATATATATTTAGCCCACAAAATGCCCCTAAAGTTTCATTGTGGCAAGTGAAATATAGCTCTAGACTACATTTTGTGTAGGTATTGATAGCTTCACTGAGTTTCCAGGAAATCTGCTGATTGATTCTATGAAACTTGCACATACAGTAGTATAGTGAAAATCAGGGCCCTCATGACCCTTTTTCTGGAACCAAGGTTTCTCTGCTGATTTAGCATCACTATGGTATAAATAAGAAAATTGAGCGAAGGAGAACCTCCAGAAAAAGTGCGGAACACATTATTTGGCGGCCATTTTCAAAATGGCCGCCAAAATTATGATATTGTCTCATAACTTCACTTATATCCAATGGAAAACGGCAAATCTGGTGTCCAACTAAATGTTATTAGGGTTGAAGCCAATGAGACAGGTTTTGAAAACCTAAAAAAAAAAATGGTCAAAAATTGAATATTTAGTATAATTCCACATCTCCTCAAAATGGTAAATTTGGATCTAATCATAGGTGTTTGGGCTCTCTGAATAAATAACCATAGTTTCAAAAAGTTAAGATAAATCTAGGATAACAGCCATTTTCAAATTCAAGATGACCGCCATAAAAAAAAAATCGAAAATCAATATTTTGTTTTTTAATTCCAATTTTTCTTAGCCGAAATGGTAAAAATTGGATGTCTAATGACATGTTATGTCTCTCTATATATTGATTTTTGACAATTTACATGGCAGCCATCATGAATTTCAAAATGGCTGCCATCATAGCTTTTTGAAATCATGTTTATTGGACACAGTTAACAAAATAACATATAATTTGACACCAAATTTAGCGTTTTTCATCAGGAAGTGGCGTTACATGCCAAAATATTCAATTTTCGATGGTTTTATAGCGGCCATCTTTATTTTCAAAATGGATGCCATCTTAGATATATGAAACCATGTATATTGGACTCAGAGAGCCCAATAACATATGTTGAAACACCAAATTTATCATTTTTCTTCAAAGAGAAAAGGAATTATATACTAAAATATTCGATTTTTGAGGATATTTATGGCGGCCATCTTGAATTAATTTCAAAATGACTGCCATCCCAGCTTTTTAAAACTATGTTTATTGTATTCAGAGAGCCCAAAATCATTTGATTGGATCAAAGTGTACCGTTTTCCATATAGGAGATGTGGAATTATACTGAAATATTCAATTTTTGACCATTTTAAGGCGACCATCTTGAATTTGAATATGGCTGCCAGTTTAGGATTTCCAAACCTGTCTCATTGGGTTCAACCCTAATAAGATATAATTGGACACCAGATTTGCCCTTTTGTACTGTTTTTAACCCTCTTCATTGTTAATGTTTCCCCTTATGGATGGATCTAAGCTCTTATATACAGTTATATACACATACACATATACATATATATACAAATATATATATATATATACATATATATATACATACATACATATACATACATACATATACATACATACATATATATACATACATACATATAT